TCAGTTCTCAGAGTTAAGCGTGTCTGAAAGCCGCCCTTAACCTAGCTTGTTGGGAGCACGAAGTTTCTCTTCAGATGCAAACTCCACTCCATACTTATATATTGGGAGGTACAAGCTCCAACTCGGTTTTACAGATAAAACTGCAAGAACTTCAGACCGGCACTAGGAATCAGACTGAGAAACCAGAGTAAGTGTTTCTCCTGCAAACAGTTCCCATTTTGCTAGATGAACGAACGTCTCTCCACATGCTCAGTGCTGAGAATTAAGCATGTGTGAAAGCCGTCCTTCAACTAGCTTGCTGGGAACACATAGATTCTCTTCAGTTGCAAACTCCACTCCATACATATATATGGGGAGGTGCAACCTCCATCTCGGTTTTACAGTGAAAAGTGCAGGAACTTCAATCCGGCACTAGGAAACAGACTGAGAAACCAGAGTAAGTGATTTTCCTGCATCCCATTCCTATTTTGCTAGATGGATGAACGTCTCTCCACATGGTAAGCTCTCAGGGATAATTGTGCATGAAATCTGTCATTCACCTAGCCTGTTGGGAGCACAAAGTTCCTTTCCAGGTTCAAACTACACTCCATACTTATATATGGACAGCTAGCTTCTCCAAATCAATTTTACAGTGAAAACTGAAGCAAATTCAAACCGGCATAAGGAAACAGACTGCAAAACAGAGTATGTCTTTCTCCTGCAATCCGTTCCCTTTGTGCTAAATGAACGATCGTCTCTCTACATGCTCAGTTGAGAGAGATAATTGTGTGTTAAAGTGGTCCTTCTCCTTGCTTGTTTTGAACACAAAGTTTTTTTTCCAATTTCAAACTGCACTACATACATATATATGGGGAAGTAATTGCTCCAACTCGCTTTAACAGTGAAAAGTGCAGGAATTTAAAACTGGTACTAGAAATTAGACAAAGAAAGCAGACTAAGTGTTTCACCTGCAATCCGTTCCCATTGTGAAAGATGGACAAACGATTCTCCACATTCTCAGTTATGAGATATAAGTGGAGGGAAAGCCATCCATCACATAGCTTGATGGGTACACAAAGTTTCTTTTCAGTTGCAAAATCCACTACATACATATATATGAGAAGATACTGGCTCCAGAAGGATTTTACAGTGAAAACTGCAGGAATTTCAAACAGGTACTTGGGAAAAGACTGAGAAAGAAGAGAAATTGATACACTTGGAAACTGTTTCCCTTGTGCTAGATGAATGAACGTCTCTCCACATGCTCAGTTCTGAGAGATAATGCTGTGTGAAAACCTTCCTTCACCTATCTTGTTGGGAACACAAAGATTTTTCAAGTTTCAAATTTCAATACAGATATATATATATATATACGAAGGCAACAGATCCATCTTGGGTTTACAGAGAAAACTATAGAAACTTCAAACCGGTTATAGGAAACAGACTGAGAAACCAGAGTAAGTGTTTCCCCTGTAACCCGTTTTTTGGGCTAGATAAAGGAACGTCTCTCCACATACTCAGTTCTGAGAGATAATTATGTGTGTAAGACGTCATTCACCAAGCTTCTTGGGAACACAAGATTCTTTCCAATTTCAAACCCCACTCCACACATATATTTGGGGAGGAACTGGCTCCAACATGGTTTTACGGTGAAATGTGCAGGAACTTCTGAATGGAACTAGGAAAATAAGAAACCAGAGTTAGTGCTTCCACTGCAATCCGTTCCCTTTTTGCTAGTTGAATGATCGTCTCTCCACATGCTGAGGTCTGAGAGATAAGTGAGTGTGAAAGCCGTCCTTCATCTAGCTTGTTGGGAACATAAAGTTTCTTTGAAGTTTCAAATTCCACTACATACATATATGGGGGAGGTATTGGCTCCAACACGGTTTTTCAGTGAAAACTGCAGGAACTTCAATCTGGCATAAGGAAACAGACTTAGAAAACAGCGTAATTGTTTCTCCTGCAATCCGTTCCTCTTGTGCTAGATGAACGAACGTATCTCCACATGCTCTGTTCTGAGAGATAACTGGGTGTGAAAAACGTCCTTAACCTTGCTTGATGGGAATACAAAGATTCTTTCGAGTTTCAAACTCAAATACAAACATATATATGGAAAGGTACCATCTCCAACTCGGTTTTACAGTGGAAACAGCAAGAACTTCAAATCGGCACTAGGAAACTGAGAAAGCAGACTAAGTGTTTCCCCTACAACCCGTTCCCTTTGTGCTAGATGAACGAACGTCTCTCCACATGCTCAGTTCTGAGAGAAAATTGTGTGTGAAAGCCGAACTTCTACTAGCTTTGTGGTATCACAAAGTTTCTTTCCAGATTCAAAATCCACTACATAAAAATATATGAGGAATAACTGGCTCCAACACTGTTTTTCTGTGAAAACTGCTGGAAATTCATATCACTACTAGAAAACAGACTCAGAAAGCAGAGAATTTGTTACACTTTCCAACAGTTCCCCTTGTGCTAGATGAATGAACATATCTCCACATGCTCAGTTCTGAGAGACAATTGTGTGTGAAAGCCTTCCTTCAGATAGCTTGTTGGGAACACAAAGATTCTTTCAGCTACAAACTCCACTACATACATATATATGGGGTGGTACTGTCTCCAACTCAGATTTTCAGTGAAAACTGCAGGAACTTTCAATGGACACTAGGAAACAGACTGAGAAACAGAGTAAGTGTTTCCCCTGCAACCCGTTCCCTTTTTACAAGATGAACGAACTCTATCTATATGCTCTGTTCTCAGAGATAAGTGAGTGTGAAAGCCGTACTTCACCAAGCTTGTTGGGAACACAAAGTTTCTTTCCAGGTTCAAACACCACTACATACATATATATGGGGTGGTAACAGCTCGAGGACAGTTTTACAATGAAAACGGCAGCAACTTCATATCAGTACTAGGAAACATACTGAAAAAGCATAGTATGTGTTTCTCCTGCAAACAGTTCCCTTTATGCTAGATGAACGAATGTCTCTGCACATGCTCAGTTCTGAGAGGTAAGAGTGAGTGAAAGACATACTTCACGTAGCTCGTTGGGAACACAAAATTCTTCCCATTTTGAAATTCCACTACATAGAAATATATGGGGAGGTTCAGGCTCTAAGTCAGTTTTATGGTGATAACTGCAGAAATTTCAAACTGGCATTGGAAAACAGACTGAGAAAACAGAGTATGTGATTCTACTGCTACTGTTTCCATTTGTGCAAGATGAACGAACGTCTCTCCACATGCTCAGTTCTGAGAGATAAGTGTGTGTGAAAGCCAACCTTCATCTAGCTTGTTCAAACACAATTTTCCTTTCAAGTTTCAAACTCGACCACATACATATATATCGGAAGGTACTGGATCCAATACGGGTTTACAGTTAAAACTGCAGCAACTTCAACCAGGCACTATGAAACAGACTGAGAAACATGAATAATTGTTTCTCATGCAACCCGATCCTTTTTGCTTGATGGACGGACGTCTCTCCACATGCTAGGTTCTGAGAGATAAGTGTGTGTAAAAGCCGTCCTTCACCTAGCATGTTGGGAACACTAAGTTTCTTTTAAGTTTCAAACTCCAATCCATACATATATATGGGGATGTAGTGTCTCCAAATCAGTTTTACAGTGAAAAATGAAGGAACTTCAAGCTGGCTCAAGGAAACATACTGAGAAAGCAGAGAATATGTTTCTCCTGCAAAACATTCCCTTTGTGCTAGATGAAAGATCGTGTCTCAACATGCTCATTTCTGATAGGAAATTGTGTGTGAATGCCATCTTTCAACTAGCAAGTTGGGAACACAAAGTTTCTTTCCAGTGTCAAACTCCACTACATACATATATATGGGGAGGTACAGGCTACAACTCGGTTTTACAGTGAAATCTGGAGGAACTTCAAGCCAGCACTAGGAAACAGACTGAGAATGCAGTGTGATTGTTTCTCCTGCCTCACATTCTTTTTGTGCTAGATGAACGAACGTGTCTCCACATGCTCAGTTCTGAGAGATAAGTGAGTGTGAAAGCCTTCCTTCACATAGCTTGTTGGGAACACAAATTTTCGTTCCAGTTTCAATCTCTACTTCATAATTATATATGGGGAGATACTGGCTCCAACATGTATTTACAGAGATAACTGCAAGATCTTCATACCAGCTGTAAGAAACAGACTGAGAAACACGAGTAAGTATTTCTCCTGCATCCCGTTCCCTTTTTGGTAGATGGACGAACGTCACACCACATGCTCTGTCCTGAGAGATAAGTGTGAGAAAACTCCATCCTTCAACTAGTTTGTTGGAACACAAAGTTTGTTTCAAAGTTTAACACCACTGCATACATATATATGGGGAGGTAGAGTCTCCAACATAGTTTTATACGGAAAACTGTAGGAATTTCAAACTGGCACAAGGAAACAGACAGAAAGCAGAGAATGTGTTTCTCCTGCTAAATGTTCCTTTTGTGCTACATGAACGAATGTCTCTACACATGCTAAGTTTTGAGAGAAAAGTGTGTTTGAAAGCAATCTTCACCTAGCTTGTTGGGAACACAAGTTTCTTTCCAGTTTAAAACCCCAATCCATACATATATATTGTGAAATACTAGCTCCAACTCGAATTTATAGTGATAACTGCAGGGAGTTCAAACTGGCACAAGGAAAAAGACTGTGAAAGCAGACTGATATATTCTCCTGCAACACGTTCCTTTTGTGCTAGATAAATGAACGTCTCTCCACATGCACAGTTCTGAGAGATAATAGTATGTAAAACCCGTACTTCAATTAGCTTGTTGGGAACATAAATTTTCTTTCCAGGTTCAAACTCCACTACATATATATATATATGGTGATGTACCAGCTCCAACTCAGTTTTATAGTGAAAACTGCAGGAACTTCAAACCTGTAATAGGAAACAGACTGAGAAAGCAGAGTATGTGTTTCTCCTACAACACGTACCCATTGTACTATATGAACGGACGTCTTACCACATAATAATTTCTGAGACAAAAGTGTGTTTGAAAGCCATTCTTCACCTAGTTTGTTGGGAACACAAGTTTCTTTCCAGATTCAAACCCCAGTACAAACATATATATGGTGAGGTATTGACCCCAACACGTATTTACAGTGAAACCTGTAGGAACTTCGAATCGGCAATACGAAACAGAGTGAGAATCCAGAGTAAGTGTTTGTCCTTCAACCCATTCCCTTTGTACTAGGTGAACGAACGTTTAACCACAAGCTCAATTCTGAGTGATAATTGTGTATGAAAGCTGTCCTTCACATTTCTTGTTTGGACCCAAAGTTTCTTTCTAGATTCAAACACCACTACATACATATATAAGGGGAGGTAAAGGATACAAATCGGTTTTAAGTGAAAACTGCAGAAACTTCAAAATGGCACTAGAAAACCGACAAAAAAAACAGAGTAATGTTTCTCCTGCAACCCGTTCCCTTAGTGCTAGATGAACGATCGTGTCTTCACATGCTCAGTTCTGAGAGATAAGTGTGTGTGAAAGCCGTCCTTCAAATAGCTTGTTGGGAACACAAACATTCTTTCCAGTTTCAAATTCCACTCCATACATATATATGGGGAGGTACTGGCTCCAACTCAGTTTTACAGTTAAAACTGCAGGATATTCAAACCGGCACTAGGAAATAGACTGAGAAAGAAGAGTAATTGTTTCTCCTGCAACCCGTTCCTTTTGTCGTAGATGAACGAACGTGTCTCCACATGCTAAGTTCTGAGGGATAAGTGTGTGTAAAAGCTGTACTTCAACTAGCTTGTTGGGAACACAAAGTTTCTTTCCAGGTTCAAACCCCACTGCATTCATATATATTGGGACGTAGTGTCTCCAACACTGTTTTACACTGAAAACTGTAGGAAGTTCAAAATGGCACAAGGAAACAAACTGTGAAAGCAGAGTGATTGTTTCTCCTGCAACACGTTCCTTTTGTGCTAGATGAAAGAACTTCTCTCCATATGCTGACTTCAGAGAGATAAGTGTGTGTGACAGCATTCCTTCAGCTAGCTTGTTGGGAACAAAAAGTTTCTTTCCAGTTTCAAATTCCACTACATACAAATATATGGGATGGTTCTGGCTCCAACTCGGTTTTACAGTTAAAACTGCAGGAAATTCAAACCGGCACTAGGAAGCTGACTGCGAAACCCGAGTAACTGTATATCCTGAAACCTGATCCCGTTTTGCTTGATGAACGGAAGTCTCTCCACATGCTTAATTTTGAGAAATAAGTGTTTGTAAAAGCTGTACTTAAACTTGCTTGTTAGGGACACAAAGTTTCTTTCCAAGTTCAAAACCCAATCCATATATTTATATGGGGAAGTAGGGTCTCCAACTCGGTTTTACAGTGAAAACTGTAGGAACTTCAAGGCAGCACCAGGAAACAGACTGATAGAGCAGAGAATTTGTTTCTCTTTCAAACTGTTCCCTTTGTGTTAGATGAATGAACGTGTCTCCACATGCTCATTTCTCAGAGTTAATTGTGTGTGAAAGCCGTTCTTCACCTAGCTTGTTGGGAACACAAAGTTTCTTTCCAATTTCAAATTCCACTACATGCATATATATGGAGAGGTACTGGCTCCAACTCGGTTTTACAGTGAAAAAAGCAGGAACTTCAAACAGGCACAACGAAACATACTGAGAAAGCACAGTAATTGTTTCTCCTGCAAAACGTTCCCTTTGTGATAGATCAACGGACGTCTCTTCACAAGCTCAATTCTAAGAGATAAGTGTGTATGAAAGCCATTCTTCACAGCTTGTTGGGAACACAAAGTTTCTTTCCACTATGAAACTCGACTACATACATATATATGGGGAGGTACTGGCTCCAACTCTGTTTTACAGTGAAAGTTGCTGGAACTTCAAACCGGCACTAAGAAACAGACTGAGAATGCAGAGTAAGTGTTTCTATTGCAACATGTTCCCTTTGTGCTAGATGAACTAACGTCTCTCCACATACTCAGTTCTAAGTGACATGTGTGTGTGAAAGCCGAACTTCACCTAGCTTGTTGGGAACACAAAGTTTCTTTCCAGTTTCTAACTCCGCTACATACGTATTACTGTAAAGGTACCGATTCCAACTCGGTTTTACAGAGAAAAATGCAGGAAATTCAAAATGGCACTAGGAAAAAGATTGAGAAACCAGAATAAGTCTTTCCCCACAACCGTTCCCTTTGTGCCACATGAACGAACATCTCTCCACATACTCTGATATCAGAGATAAGTGTGTGTGAAAACCATCCTTCACCTAGCTTTTTGGGAACACAAAGTTTCTTTCCAGTTTCAAACTCCAGTACATGCACATATATGGGGAGGTACTGGCACCAACTCTGCTATTAAGTGAAAATTGCAGGAGCTTCAAACTGTTACCAGGAAACAGACTGAGAAAGCAGAGTAAGTGTTTCTCCTGCAACCCGTTCCATTTGTGCTAAATGAATGAATGTCTCTCCAAATGCTCAGTTCTAAGAGATAACTGTGAGTGAAAGCCGTCTTTAACATACCTTGTTGGGAACACAAAGATTTTTTCCTGTTTCAAACTCCACTACATACATATATATGGGAAGGTACCGGCTACAAAACGGTGTTACAGTGAAAACTACAAAAATTCCCAACAGGTCTTGAAAACAGACAGAGAAAGCATAATAAGTGTTTCTCCTGCAACCCGTTCTCTTTGTGCTAGATGAAAGAACGTCACTCCACATGCTCTGTTCTTTGAGATAATTGGGTGTGAAAGCCGTTCATCACCTAGCTTTTTGGGAACACAAAGTTTCTTTCCAGTTTCCAAATCCACTACATACTTTTATATGGGGATGTGCTTTCTCGAAATCGGTTTTATATTGAAAATTGCAGGAACTTCAATCCAGTTCTACTAAGCAGACTGAGAAAGCAGAGTAAGTGTTTATCTTACTACCCGTTCCCATTGTGCTAGATGAATGATATTCTCTCCACATGCTCAGTTCTGAGAGATAAATGTGTGTGAAAGTCATTGTTCACCTTGCTTGCTAGCAACTCAAAGTTTGTTTCCAGTTTCCAAATCCACTATATACATATATATTCAGAGGTACCGGCTCCAACACGGCTTTATACTGAAGACTGCAGGAACTTCAAACCGATTCTAGGAAACAGACTGAGAAACTAAGGTAAGTTTTTACCCTATAATCTGTTCCCTCTGTGCTAGAATGAAAGTCTCTCCACATGCTAAGTTCTGAGAAATAAGAATGTTTGTACCCGTCCTTCAACTAGCTTGTATGGAACACAAAGTTCTTTCAAATTTCCAACTCAACCACATAAATATATATGGGGAGGTACTGGCTCCAACATGGTTACACAGTGAATACAGCAGAAACTTAAAATCAGCACTAGGAAACAGGCTTAGAAGGCAGAGTCATTGTTAATCCTGCAACCCGTTCCTTTTGTGCTAGATGAACGAACGTCTGTCCACATGCTCGGTTCTGAGAGATAAGTGTGTGTGAAAGCCTTCATTTGCCTAACTTGTTTGGACACAATGCTTGTTTCTAGATTCAACTCCATTACATACATATATATATATGGGGAGGTACAGGACCCAAATCGGTTTTTATTGAAAACTTCAGAAACTTCTTACCAGCACTTGGAATCAGACCAAAAAAACACAGTAATGTTTCCACTTCAAACCGTTCCTTTAGTGCTAGATGAACGATCATCTCTTAACACGCTCAGTTCTGAGAGATAAGTGTGAGTGAAAGCCATCCTTCACCTAGCTTGTTGGAAACACAGAGATTATTCCAGTTTCAAACTCCACTGCATACATATATTTGGGGAGTTATTGGCTCCAACACTTTTTTACGGTGAAATGTGCAGGAACTTCTTACCGCCACTAGGAAACTGAGAAACCAGAGTAGGTGTTTCCCCTGCAAACCGTTCTCTTATTGCTAGTTGAAAGAACGTCTCTCCACATTCTCTGTTCTGAGAGATAAGTGTGTGTGAAAGCCGTCCTTCACCTAGCATGTTGGGAACACAAAGTTTCTTTGCAGTTTCAAATTCCCCTACATAAATATATGGGGGAGGTACTGGCTCCAACACTGTTTCACAGTGAAAGCTGCTGGAACTTCAAACCGGCACTAAGAAACAGACTGAGAATGCAGAGTAAGTGTTTCTCTTGCAACATGTTCCCTTTGTGCTAGATGAACTAACGTCTCTCCACATGCTAGGTTCTAAGTGATTTGTGTGTGTGAAAGCCGAACTTCCCCTACCTTGTTGGGGACACAAAGTTTCTTTCCATTTTGAAATTCCACTCCATACATATAAAGGGGGAGATACTGGCTCCAAATCGGTATGACAGTGAAATCTTCAGGAAATTCAAACCGGCAATAGAAACAGACTGAGAAAGCAGATTAAGTGTTTTTCTTGCAAACTGTTCCCATTGTGCTACATGAACAAACGTATCTCCACATGCTCAGTTCTGAAAGAAAATTGTGTGTGAATACCGTCCTTCATCTATCTTCTTGGAAACACAAAGTTTCTTTCCAGTATCAAACTCAAATACATACATATATGTGGGGAGGTTCTGGCTCCAACCCGGATTTACAGTGAAAACTGCAGGAACTTCAAACCTGCACTAGGAAATAGACTGAAAAAGCAGAAAAATTGTTTCTCCTGCAAACCGTTCCCGTTCTGCAAGATGAAAGAACCTCTCTCCATTTGCTCAGTTCTGAGAGAAAAGTGTGTGTGAAAGCCGTCCTTCACTTAGCTTGTTGGGAACACAAAGTTTATTACACTTTCAAATTACATTACAATCATATATGGTGGAGGTACTGGCTCCAACACAGTTTTACAGTAAAAACTGCAGGAACTTCAAACCAGTAATAGGAAACAGACTGAGAACAGAGTAAGTGTTTCTCCTGCAACCCGTTCCCTTTGTGCTAGATGAACGAACGTCTCTCCATATGCTAATTTCTGAGAGATAAATGTGTGTGAAAAACTTCCTTCACCTAGCTTGCTGGGAACACAAAGTTTCTTTTCAAATTCAAACTCCACTCCATACATAAATATGGGGAAGTACTGGCTGCAACTCAGTTTTACAGTGAAACCTGCAGAAACGTCAAACCGGCACTAGGAAACATTGAGAATGCAGAGAAAGTGTTTCAAATGTAACCCGTTCCCTTTTTGCTAGATGGGCAAACGTCTCTCAACATGCTCAGTTCTGAGAGAAAATTGTAAGTAAAAGCCGTCCTTCACCTAGCTTGTTGGGAACACAAAGTTTCTTTCCAGTTTCAAACTCAAATACATACATATATATGGGGAGGTACTGGCTTCAAATCCGTTTTATAGTGAAAACTGCAGGATCTTCAAACGGACACTAGGAAATAGACTGAGAAAGCAGAGTAAATATTTCTACTGCAAACCGTTTCCTTTGTGCTAGATGAAAGAATGTCTCGCAACATTCTCAGTTCTAAGAGATAAATGAGTATGAATGCTGCCTTTCACCTAGCTTGTTGGGAACAAAAAGTTTCTTTCCAGTTTCAGACTCCACTTCATATGAATATATGGGAAGATATTGGCTCCAACACGGTTTTACAGTGATAACTGCAGGAACTTCAAACCGGCTCTAGGAATCAGACTGAGTATGCAGAGTACGTGTTTCACTTCAAACCGTTCTTTTTGTGCTAGATGGACGAAAGTCTCTCAACCTGCTCAGTTACAAGACGTATGTGTGTGTGAAAGCCATTCTTCACTTAGGTTTTGGGAACACAAAGTTTCTTTCCAGTTTCAAACACGTCTACATACATATATATGGGGAAGTACTGGCTCCAACTCGGTTTTACAGTGAAAATTGCAGGAAATTCAAACCGGCTCTAGGAAACAGAATGAGAAAGCAGAGAAAGCGTTTCTCCTGAATCCTGTTCCCTTTTTCCCACATGGACGAATGTCTCACCTCATAGTCAGTTCTGAGGGAAAAGTGTCTGTGAAAGCCTTCCTTCAACGTTCTTGTTGGGAACACAAAGTTTCTTCCAGGTTCAAACTCCACTACATACATATATATGGGGAGAAACTGGCTCCAACTCTGTTTTACAGTGAAAATTGCAGTAACTTCAAACCGGCACAAAGAAACAGACTGAGAATCCCGAGTAAGTGTTTCCCCTGCATCCCAATCGCTTTTTGCTTGATGGACGGAATTCTCTCCACATGCTCAGGTCTGACAGATAAGTGTGCGTAAAAGCCGTACTTCACATACCATGTTGGGAACACAAAGTTTGTTTCCATGTACAAACCCCAATCCATACATGTATATGGGGTGGTAAGGTCTCCAACTCTGTTTTAGAGTGAAAACTGTGGGAACATCAAGCCAGAACAAGGGAACATACTGAGGAATCAGAGATAGTGTTCTACTGCAAACCGTTCCCCTGTGCTAGATGAATGAACGTGTCTCCACATGTTCATTTCTGTGAGGTAAGTGTGTGTGAAAGCTGTACTTCACCTAGCTTGTTGGGAACACAAAGTTTATTTCCAGTTTCAAATTCCAATACATACATATAAATGGAGAGGTGCTGGCTCCAACACCGTTTTACAGTTAAAAATGTTGGAACTTCAAACCAGCACTAGGAAACAGACTGAGAAACACGAGTAAGAGTTCTCCTGCAACCTGTTCCCTTTGTGCTAGATGCACGAACATCTCTCCACATGCTCACTTATGAGAGATATGTGTGTTGGAAAGCCATCCTTCTCCAATTTGTTGGGAACACAAACTACCTTTCCAGATTCAAACTCCAACACGTACATATATAAGGGGAAGTACTGTCTCCAAACCAGTTTTACAATGGAAACTGCAGGAACTTCAAACCAACACAAGTAAACAGACTGGGACATCAGTTTAAGTGTTTCACCTGCAACCCATTCCCTTTGTGCTAGATGACGAACGTCTCTCCACATGCTCAGTTCTAAGAGATAAATGTGTGGAAAAGCCATCCTTCACCTAGCTTGTAGGGAACATAAAGATTCTATCCAGAATCAAACCCCTCTATGTACATATATAAAGTGAAGTACTGGCCTCAACCTGGATTTACAGTGAAAACTGTAGGAACTTCAAACTGGCAATAGGAAACAGACTGAGAAACCAGGGTAATTTTTTCTAATTCAACAAGTTCCCATTGTGCTAAATGAATTAACGTCTCTCCACATGCTCAGTTCTGAGAGATAAGTGTGCATGAAAGCCATCCTTCACCTATTTGGAAGGGAACACAAAGTTTCTCTCCAGATACAACCTCCACTCCATACATATAAATGGGGAGGTACTGGCTCCAAATCCGTTTTATGGTGAAAACTGCAGGAACTTCAAACCAGCACTAGGAAACAGCCTGAGAAAGCAGAGTAAGTGTTTCTCCTGCAACACGTTTCTTTTGTGCTAGATGAACGAAAGTGCCTCTACTTGCTCAGTTCTCTGAATTAATTGTGTGAGAAAGCCATCCTTCTCCTAGTTTGTTGGGAACAGAAAGTTCCTTTCCAGTTTCAAACCCCAATACTTGCATATATATGGTGATGAATTGGCCCCAACTTAGATTTACTGTGAAAACTGCAGGAACTTCAAACTGGCCAGAAGAAACAGACTGAGAATCCAGAGTAAAAGATTCTCCTTCAACCAGTCCCCTTTGTGCCAGATGAACGTAAGTCTCTCCACATGTTCTTGTCATAGAGATAAGTGTGTGTGAAAGCCTTCCTTCACCTATCTTGTTGGGAACACAAAGTTTCTTTCAAGTTTCAAACTCAAATACATACATATATATGGGGAGGTACTAGCTCCAACACGGTTCTACAGCAAAAACTGAAATAAAATCAAAACGGCACCAGTAAACAGAATGAGAAATCAGAGTATGAGTTTCACCTGCAAACAAATCCCTTTATGCTAGATGAAAGAACGTCACTCCACATGATTAGATCTGAGAGGTAATTGTGTGTGTAACCCGTCATTAACCTAGCTTGTTGGGATAACAGAGTTATTTTCTGTTGGAAACTACACTGCATACATATATATCTGGAGGTACTAGCTCTGACTCGGTTTTACACTAAAACTGCAGGAATTTTTAACCAGCACTAGGACACAGATTAAGAAACAAGAGAAAGTGTTTCTCCTGCAACCCATTCCACTTGTGGTAGATGAATGAACATCTCTCCACATGCTCAGTTCTGAACGATATGTGAGTGTGAAATCTGTACTTCACCTAACTTGTTGGGAACACAAAGTTTCTTTTCAGTTGGAAACTCCACTATGTACATATATTTGGGATGATATAATCTCCAACTCGGTTTTACAGTGCAAATTGAGGGAACTTAAAACCGGCACTAGGAAACAGACTGAGAAACCAAGTAAGTGTTTCTCCTGCAACCGTTTCTCTTTCTGCTAGATGAATGAACGTCTCTACATGCTCAGTTCTGAGATATAAGTGTATGTCATAGCTGTACTTCAACTGTCTTGTTGGGAACACAAAGCTGCTTTTCAGTTGGAAATTACACTACATAATTATATATTAGGAGGTACTAGCTCCAAGTCGGTATTACAGTGAAAACTGAAGGGAATTCAATCCGGTACTAAGGAAGAGACTGAGAAAGCAGATTAACTGTTTCACCTGCAACCTGTTCCCTTTGTCCTAAATGAATGAACATCTCTCCACATGCTCATTTCTGAGAGATAAGTGTTTGTGAAATTCGTAATTCACATAGCCTGTTGGGAACAGAAATTTTCTTTTCAGTTGGAAACTCTACTACGTACATACATATGGCGCAAAACTAGCTCCAACTCGGTTTTACAGTGAAAAGTGCCCGAACATCAAACCGGCAATAATAAACAGACTGAGAAACCAGTAAAAATGTTTCCCCAACAAACCGTTCCCTTTGTGCTAAATGAACGAATGTCTGTCCAATGGTAAGTTCCAAGAGATAACTGTGTGGAAAAGCCGTCCTTGACCTAGCTTGTTGGGAACACAAAAATTCTTTTCAGTTGGAAATTACACTTCATACATATATATGTGGAGTTACAAGTTACAACCTGTTTTTACAGTAAAACCTGAACGAAATCTAAATGGCACTAGGAAACAAACCCAGATAAACAAGAGTAAGCGTTTCTCCTGCAAACCGTTCCTTTTGTGCTAGATGAACGAACGTCTCCCCACATTCTCAGCAATAAGAGAAAAGTGTGTGTGAAAGCCGTTCTTCACCTAGTTTATTGGAAACTCAAAATTTCTATTCAGTTGGAAACTATACTGCATACATATATATGGGAGGTACTAGCTCCAAATCTTTTTTTACAGTGAAAACTGCAGGAACTTAATAACGGTGCAAGGAAAAAGACTGAGAAACAGGAGTAAGTGTTTCTATTGACAACCTTAAACTTTTGCTAGATGAATGAAACTCTCTCCACATGCTCAATTCTGAGAGATATTTTTATGTGAATGCCATCCTTCACCCAGTTTGCTTGGAACACAAATATTCTTTTAATTTGGAAAATAAACTAGATACATATGTATCAGGATGCACTAGCTTCAACTCGGTTTTACAGTGTAAACTGCAGGAACTTCAAAATGGCACTAGGAAACAGACTGAGAAACCAGAGTAATTGTTTCTTCTGCATCCCAATCCTATTGTGCTAAATGAACGTAACTCTCTCCACATGCTCAGTTTTGAGAGATATGTGTGTGCGAAAACCGAACATCACCCAGATTTTTGGGAACACAAAGTTTCTTTTCAGTTGGAAATTCCATTAAGTACATATATATGGGGAGGAATTGACTCCAAATAGGTTTTACAGTGTAAACTGCAGAAACTTCACACCGGCAGTAGAAAGTAGACTGAGAAACTATAGTGTGTGTTCTGCCCGTCACCCGATCGACTTTTGCTTGGTGAACGAAAATCTCTCCACATGCTCAGTTCTGAGAGATAGGTGTGTGTTAAAGCTGAATTTCACCTAGCTTGTTGGGAACACAAATTTCCTTTTCAGATGGAAACTACACTATGTAAATATATATGGGAAGTACAAGCTGCTACTTGATTTTACACGAAAAACTGCAGGAACTTTAAATCGTCACTAGGAAACAGACTGAGAAAGAAGAGTAATTTTTTCACCTGCAACCTCTTCCCTTTGTGCTAGATGAACGAACGTCCATCCATATGTCAATTTCTGACAGATTTTTGTGTGTGGAAGCCATCCTAAACCATTCTTGTTCGGAACAGGAAGTTTGTTTGCGTTTGAGAACTCCACTACATACATACATATGGGGCAAAACTAGCTCCAACATGATTTTACAGTGAAAATTGCAGGAATTTCAAACTGGCACTAGGAAACAGACTGAGAAACACGTGTTAGTCTTTCTACTCCATCCCATTCCCTTTATGCAAGATGACTGAACGTCTCTCCACATGCTCAGTTCTGAGAGAAAAGTGTGTGTGAAAGTGTTACTTCACATATCTTGTTTGGAAAACAATGTTTCTTTTCTGTTTGAATCTCCACAACATACACGTATATGGCGAGGTGGAATCTTCAACATGGTTTTACAGTGAAAACTGAAGGAAATTCAAAACGGCACTAGGAAGCAGACTGAGAAACATGAGGTAGTCTTTCTCCTGCATCCTGTTCCCTTTGTGCTAGATCAAGAACCTCTCCCTGCATGCTCAGTTCTGAGGCTAAACTATGTGTCAAAGACGTCCTTCACCTAATGTGTTCTGAACACAAACTTATTTGGTTTTGGAAACTCCACTTCATACGTATATATGGGGAGGTATATGCTCCAACTCGGTTTTACATTGAAAATTGCAGGAAATTCAAAGCGGCACTTTTAAACAGTCTGAGTGGCCAGAGTAATTGTTCCTACTGCAAACAGTTCCCTTTGTGCTAGATGAACAATCGTCTTTCAACATGCTAAGATCTGAGAGTGAAGTGTGTGTTAAAGCCTTCCTTCAACTAGCTTGTTGGGAAGACAAAATTTCTTTTCAGTTTCTATATCCTCTCTCTCTCTCTCTCTCTCTATATATATATATATATATATATATTATATAGATATATATTATTATATATATATATATTATTATATATATAATATATATATATATTATATATATATATTATATATATATATTTGGGAATTACTAGCTACCACTATATTTTACAGTGAATAATTGTAGGAAATTCAAATCAGTATTTGGAAAAAGTCTGAGTAAACAGAGTAAGAGTTCCTCCTGAAATTTGTTCCCTTTATTGTGCTAGATGATGAAAGTCTCACCACATGCTCAGTTCTGAGAGAAAAGTGTGTGAAAGCCATCCTTCACATTTTTTGTTTTGAACACAAAGTTTCTTTTTAGTTGGAATCTCCACTACATACATATATATGGGGTGTTACTGGCCCCAACTCGGTTTTAAAGCGAAAACTGCAGGAAATTCAATCCGGCACTATGAAACAGACTGAGAAACCAGAGAAATTGTTTGTCCAGCAAACCTTTCCATTTGTGCAAGATGAACGATCGTCTCTCCACATGCTCAATTCTGAGGGGTAAGTGTGTGTGAAAGCCGTCCTTCACCTTGGTTATTGGGAACACTAAATTACATTTCAGTTGGATAATCCACTACATACTTATATATGGGGAGGTCCTATCTCCAACTCGGTTTATCAGTGAAAACTGCAGGAACTTCAAATATGCACTAGGAAACAAACTGACAATCCAGAGTAATTGTTTCAGATGCAACCCGTTCCCTTTGTGCTTGAAGAACGAAGTCTCCACACATGATGAGTTCTGAGAGTTAAGTGTGTGGAAAGCCATACTTCACATAGCTTGTTGGGAACACAAAGTTTCTTTTCAATTGGAAACTCCAGTACATACATACATATGGGGATGTCCTAGTTTCACCACGGTTTTACCATGAAAAACTCAGGAACTTGTAACTGGCAGTAGGAAACAGACTGTGAATCTAAAGTAATAGTTTCTTCTACAACCTGTTTCCTTTTTGCTAGATGAACGAAAGTCTCTCCACTTGCTCAGTTCTCAGAATTAAGTGTGTGTGAAAGTTGTACTTCACCTAGCTTTTTGGGAACACAAAATATCTTTTTAATAGGAAACGGCACTACATACTTATATATGGGTAGGTTCTAGCTCCAACACTATTTTACAGTGAAAACTGCAGGAATTTCACACCAACAGAAGAAAGCAGACAAGCAGACTGAGAAACCATAGTATGTGTTCCGCCTGTCACCCGTTCAATTTTTGCTAGGTGAACGAAAGTCTCTCCACATGCTCAGTTCAGAGAAATAGGTGTGTGTTAAAGCTGAACTTCACCTAGCTTGTTGGGAACACAAAGTTCCTTTTCAGTTGGAAACTACACTACCTAAATATATATGCGATGTACTAGCTGCTACTCAGTTTTACACTGAAAACTGCAGGAAATTAAATCTGACACTAGGAAACAGATGAGAAAGAAGAGTAAGTATTTCCCCTGCAACATCTTCCCTTTGTGCTAGATGAATGAACGTCTCTCTACATACTCAGTTCTGAGAGATAAGTGTGTGTGAAAGTCGTCCTTCACCAAGCTTGCTGGGAACACATAAGTTCTTTTCAGTTAGAAACACCAATACATATATAAATATGGGGAGGTAGAAGCTCCAATTTGATTTTACAGTGAAAATTACAGGAACATCAAACTGGCAATAGGAAACAGACTTGGAACGCAGAGTAAGTGTTTCTCCTGCAACCGTTTCTCTTTCTGCTAGATGAATGAACGTCTCTACATGATCAGTTCGGAGATATAAGTGTGTGTCAAAGCTGTACTTCACCTATCTTGTTGGGAACACAAAGTTGCTTTTCAGTTGGAGACTACACTACATAATTCTATATTAGGAGGTACCAGCTCCAAGTCGGTTTTATAGTGAAAACTGCAGGAACTTCAAACCGGCACAAAGAAAAACTGAGAAAACAGATTAAGTGTTTCACCTGCAACCTTTTCCCTTTGTCCTAGATGAATGAAAGTCTCTCCACATGCTCATTTCTGAGAGATATTTGTGTGTGAAAACCATAATTCACATAGCCTGTTGGGAACAGAAATATTCTTTTCAGTTGGAAACCCTACTACACGCATACATATGGCACAAAACTAGCTCCAACTCGGTTTTACAATGAAAAGTGCTGGAAAATCAAACTGGAAATAATAAACAGACTGAGAAACCAGAGAAATTGTTTCCCCAGCAAACCGTTCCCTTTGTGCTAGATGAACGAAACTCTCTCCACATGCTATATTCCAAGAGATAACTGTGTGGGAAAGCTGTCCTTCACCTATCTTGTAGGGAACACAAAGATACTTTTCAGTTGGAAAATGCACCTCATACATATATATGGGGAGGTACAAGCTGCAATACTTTTTTACAGTAAAATCTGCACGAACATCAATATGGCACTAGGAAACGAACTGATAAAAAAGATTAAGTGTTTCTCCTACAAACCGTAACATATGTGCTAGATGAACGAATGTCTCTCCACATTCTCAACTCTTAGAGAAAAGTGTGTGTGAAAGCCTTTCTTCACCAAGTTTGTTGGAAACTCAAAATTTCTATTCAGTTGGAAACTACACTGCATACATATACATGGGAGGTACTAGCTCCAACTCTGTTTTATAGCGAAAACCGCAGGAACTTAATAACGTCACAAGGAAAGAGATTGAGAAACTGGAGTAAGTGTTTCTCTTGAAAACCATAATTTTTGCTAGATGAACGAACCTCTCTCCACATGCTCAAATCTGAGAGGTAATTTTGTGTGAACACCGTCTTTCACCTAGCTTGCTTGGAACACAAATATTCTTTTAATTTGGAAAATAAACTACATACATGTGCAATGGATGCACTAGCTTCAACTCGGTTTTACAGTGAAAACTGCAGGAACTTCAAACCGGCACTAGGAAACAGACTGAGAAACCAGAGTAATTGAATCTCCTGCAACCCGTTCCCTTAGTGCAAGAAGAAAGAACATCTGTCCACATGCTCAGTTCTTAGTGGTAAGTGTGTGTGAATACCTTCCTTCACATAGCATGTTGGGAACAAAAATTTATTTTCAGTTAGGAAGTACACTACATACATATATAAGGGGAGGTAGAAGCTCTAGCTCGGTTTTACAGTGAAAACTGTGTGAACTTCAAACTGGCACTAGGAAATAGACTAAGTAACCAGAGTAAGTGTTTCTCCTGCAACCCAATCCCTTTGTTCTAGATGAATGGACGTCTCTTCATATGCCCAGTTCTGAGAGATAAATGTTTGTGAAAGACGTCCATCAGCTCTCTTGTTTGGAACAAAAATATTCTTTTCAGTTGGAAAATACTCTACAGTCATTTATATGGGATGTAGTAGCTCCCGTTCGGTTTTACAGTAAAAATTGCATGAACTTCAAACCGGCAATAGGAAACAGACAGAGATAGCAGAGTATGTGTTTCCCTGCAACCCTTTCCCTTTGTGTTAGATGTACGAACGTTTCCCCACATGCTAAGTCCTGAGAGATATGTGAGTGTGAAAGTCATCATTCATCTACCTTGTTGTGAAAGCAAAGTGTCTTTTCATTTAGAAAACCCTCTACATACATACATATGGGGAGGTAGTAACTCCAGCTCGGTTTTACAGTGACAACTGCATTAACTTCTATTCAAACTAGGAAACAGAATGAGAATGCAGAGTAACTGTATCTCCTGAAGCCCGTTCCCTTTGTGCTAGATGAAACAACGTCTCTTCACATGCTCAGTCCTGAGAGTAAAGTGTGTATGAAAGCCATCCTTCACCTAGATTGCTGGGAATACAAAGATTCTTTTCCATTAGAAACAACACTACATACATATTTATGCAGAGTCAGTAGCTCCAACACGGATTTACAGTGAAAACTGCATGAACTTCAAAGTGGTACAAGGAAACATACTGATAAACCAGAGTAAGTGTTCCCTGCAACACGTTCCCTTAGTATTAGATGAACGAATATCTCTCCACATGCTCAGTTCAGAGAGATAAGTGTTTGTGTAAACTTTACTTCACCTAGCTTGCTGGGGACACTTAGTTTCTTTTGCTTTGGAAACTACACTACATACTTACATATGGGAGAGTACTAGCTTCAGCTGTTTTTTACAGTTAAAAATGCATTTACTTCAAACCAGCACTAGGAAAGAGCCTGAGAAGCCAGAGAAAGTATTTCTCCTGCAACCCGTTCCCTTTGTGCTCGATGAATGAACTTCACTCCAAATGCTCAGTTCTCTGAGTTATGTGTGTTTGAATACCGTCCTTCACTTTGCTTGTTGGGAACACAAAGTTTCTTTTCATTTGAGAACTACAGTACATGCATATAAAAGGGGAGGTCCTAGCTCCATCTCACTTTTTCATTGAAAAGTGCATGAGATTCAAACCGGCAGTATGAAACAGACTGAGAAACCAGAAAAATTATTTCCCTGCAACCTGTTCCTTTTGTTCTAGATTAATGAAAGTCTCTCCACATTCTCAGTTCTGAAAGATAAGAGTGTGTGAAATCCTTTCTTCTCCTAGCTTGTTGGGAAATCAAAATTTCGTTTCTGTTTGAAATTACACTACATATATACATATGGTGAGACTGAAGGTTCATCTCTATTTTACCGTGGAAATGGCATGAACTTCAAACCGGCAGTATGAAACAGACTGAGAAACCAGAGGAAGTGTTTCTTCTGCAACCGGTTCCCTTTGTGCTAGATGATTGATCATCTCTCCGCATGCTCATTTCTCAGAGACTACTGTGTGTGAAGGTCGCACTTCACATAACTTGCTGAGAACAAAAAATTCCTTTTTAGTTGGAAACTACACTACATACATATTTTTGGTTATGTACTAGCTGTAGCTCGGTTTTACAGTGAAAACTGCATGAAAATCAAAGCGGACCTAGGAGACAGATTGAGGAACCAAAGATTGTCTTTCTCCTGCAAACCTTTCCCTTTGTGCTAGGTGAATGAACGTCTCTCCACATGCTAAGTTCTGAGAGAAAAGTGTGTTAGAAAGCCTTCCTTGAAGTAACTTGCTGGAGGCACAAAGTTTGTTTTCAGTTGGAAATATAGTACATACATATATATCTAGAGGAACAAGCTCAAGCTCGGTTTAACAGTGAAAATATCATGTACTCCAAACTGGCACTAGGAAACAGACTGAGAAACCAGACTATGTTTTTTATTGCAAATTGTACCCTTTGTGTTAGATGAATGAAAGTCTCTACACATGTTCAGTTGTCAGAGATAAGTGTGTGTGAAAGCCTCCCTTCACATAGCTAGTTGGGAGGTTAAAATTTATTTTCAGTTGGAAATGATACTACATACATATATATGGGGAGGTACTAGCTTCAGCTCGTTTTTACAGTGAAAACTGAATGAACTTCAAAGTGGCACTAGGAAACAGACTGAGAAACCAGAGTAAGTGCTTCGCCAGCAACCCATTTCCTTTGTGCTAGATGAACGAACATCTCTCCACATGCTCACTTCTGAGAGATTAGTGTGTGTGAAAGCCGTCCTTCTTCTCTTTTGTTGGGAATACTAAGAATCTTTTCATTTGGAATCTGCACTACATACATACATATGAGGTGGTACTATCTCCAGCTCGGTATTGCAGTGAAATCTGTATAAACTTCAAATAGCCTCTAGGAAACACAGTGATAAACCAGAGTAATTGTTTCTCCTGAAACCCGTTTCCATTGTGCTAGATGAATGAACATATCTCCAGATGCTCAGTTCTCAGAGAAAAGTGTGGGTGAAAAGCATACTTCACATAGATTGTTGGGAAGACATACTTTTTTTTCAGTTCGAAACTACACTATATAATTATATATGGGGAGGTACTGGCTTCAGCTCGGTGTTACAGTGAAAACTGCAGGAACTTCAATGCAAAACTAGGAAAAAGACTGAGAAACCAGAGTTAGTGTTTCCCTGCATCTCGCTCCCTTTTGTTAGATGAACGAAAGACTCTCCAGATGCTCAGATCTGAGAGATAAGTGTGTGTGAAAGCCGACCTTCACCTAGCTTGTTGGGAACACCAAGTTTCTTTTCAGTTGGAAATTTCTCTACTGTCATTTATATGGGATGTACTAGCTCCAGCTTGGATTTACAGTGAAAACTGCATGAACTTCAAAGCGGCACTAGGAAACAGACTCAGAAAGCAGAGTAAGAGTTTCTCCTGCAATCTGTTTCCTTTGTGCTTGATGAACGAATGTCTATCCATATGCTGAGTTCTAAGAGAAAATTGTGTGTGATTGCCACCCTTACCCTAGCTTGTTGGGAACACAAAGGTTCTTTTCACTTGAAAACTACAATACAAATATATATATGGGGAGGTACAAGCTCCAGCTCAGTTTTACACTGAAAACTGCATGAATTTCATATCGGCACTTGGAAACTCACTGAGAAAACTGTGTTAGTGCTACACTGCATCCTGTACCATTTATGCTAGCTGGACTAACGTCTCTCCACATGCTCAGTTCTGATATAAAATTGTGTGTATAAGCCGCCCTTCAGCTGACTTTTAGGGATCACAAGGATTCTTTTCAATTGGGAACTACTCTACAGCCATATGTATGGATAGGTATTAGCTCCAGCATGGTTTTTCTGTAAAAACTGCATGAACGTCAAGGCAGAACTAGCAACAGACTGTGAAACCAGAGTAAGTGTTTCTCCTGCATCTCGATCCTTTTTTGCTAGATGAAGGAACGTCTCACCACATGCTTATTTCAGAGAGATAAGTGTGTGTGAAAGCCGTCTTTCACCTAGCTCGTTGGGAAATAACAATTTCTTCTCTGTTGGAAACTACACTACATACATATAAATGGGGAGGTAGTAGCTACAGCTCCTTTTTACATTAAAAACACCTTGAACTTCAATCCGGAACTATGAAACAGGCTGAGATACCAGAGCATGTATTACTCCTGAAACCCGTTTACAATGTGCTAGATGAATAAACATCTCTGCACATGCTCAGTTGTGAGATATAAGTGTGTGTGAAAGCCACACTTCATATAGATTGCTTGGGACACAAAGTTTCTTTTCATTTGGCAACTACACTACATAGATACATATGGGTAAGTATTAGCTTCAGCACAGTTTTAAGTGAAAAATGCATGAAATTCAAACCGGCACTAGGAAACAGACTGAGAAACAAGAGTAAATATTTCTCCTGCAACCCTTTCCTTTTTAGCTAGATGAACGAACGTCTGTCCACATGCTCAGTTCTGAGAGATAAGTAAGTGTGAAAGTCGTTATTCATCTATCTTGTTGGGAACACACATTTTCTTTTCAGTTGGGAAATCCACTACATACATATATATGGAGAAATACTAGCTCCAACACGGTTTTACAGTGAAAATTGTAGAAACTTCAAACTGGCACTTGGAAACAGTCTGAGAAACCAGAGAAAGTGTTTCCCCTGCAAATCTTCCAACTGTGCTAGATGAACAAAAGTCTCTCCACATGCTCAATTCTAAGAGATAAGTGTGAGTGAAAGTCGACCTTCCCCTAGATTGTTGTGTACACAAAGTTCCTTTTCAGTTGGAAATTATATTACATATGTTTATATTGGTTGGTACAAGCTCCAGCTCGATTTTACACTGAAAAATGCAATAACATCAAATCGGCACTAGGAAACACGCTGAGAAACCAGAGTAAGTGTTTCTCCTGCAAACTCTTCTGTTTGTGCTAGATGAACGAACGTCTCTGCACATGCTGAGTTCTGAGACATATGTGTGTGTGAAAGCCGTCTTTCACCTAGCTTGTTGGGAAACAAAGTTTCTTTTCCATTGGAAGCTACACAACATACATATATATGGGGAGATACTAGCTCCCACTCTGTTTTTCAGTGAAAACTGCAGGAATTTCAAACAGGCACTTGGAAACCGACTGAGAAACCATAGTAAGTGTTTCACCTGCAACATGGTCCCTTTGTGCAAGATGAAAGAAAGTCTCTCCACATGCTCAGTTCTGAGATAAAATTGTGTGTGAAAACTGTACTTCACCTAGCTTGATGGGAACACAAAGTTTCTTTTCAGATGGAAACTCCACTTCGCACATACATATGGGAATGTACAAACTCCAACACGATTTTACAGTGAAAATTGCAGGAAATTCAAACTGGCACTAGGAAACAGACTGAGAATCCAGAGTATGTGTTTCTCCAGCAACCCGTTCCCTTTATGCTAGATGAAGAAAAGTCTCTCAACATGCTTATTTCTGAAAGATAAGTGAGTTTGAAAGCCGTTGATCACCTAACTTGTTGGGAACAGGAAATTTCTTTTCAGTTGGAAACTAGAATACATACTTACACATGGGACGAAATTAGCTCAAAATCTGTTTTACAGTGAAAACAGCAGGAACTTCAAACCGGCACTAGGACACAACTGGGAACCCAGTGTTAGTGTTTCTCCTTCAACTAGTTCCATTTGTGATAGATGAACGAACGTCTCTCCACATACTCAGTTAGAGTTAAGTGTATGTGAAAGCCCTCCTTCACCTAGCTTGTTGGGAACACCTTGATTCTTTTCATTTGGAAAGAATTCTACGTATATATATATGAGGAGGTACCATCTCCAAATCGGTTTTACAGTATAAATGCCCGAACATTAAACCGGCACTAGGAAATGTACTGAGAATCCAGAGTAATTGTATCTCATGCTACCCGATCCCTTTTTGCTATATGAATGGACATCTCTCCTCATGCTCAGTTCTGAGATTTAAGTGTGTGTGAAAGCCATCCTTCACATAGCTTGTTGGGAACACAATGTTTCTTTTTAGTTGGGAAATTTTCTACATACATATATATGGGGAGGTACTAGCTCCAACATGGTTCTACAGCGAAAACTGCAATAAATTCAAAACGGCACTAGGAAACAGACTGAGAAATCAGAGTATGAGTTTCACCTGCAACCAATTCCCTTTCTGCTAGATGAATGAAAGTGTCTCCACATGCTTAGTTCTAAGAGATAATTGTGTGTGAAAGCCGTCCTTAACCTAGCTTGTTGGGAAAACAGAGTTACTTTTCGGTTGGAAACTACAATGCATACATATATATCTGGAGGTACTATCTCCGACTTGGTTTCACACTGAAAACTGCAGGAATTTTTAATCAGCACTAGGACACAGACTGTGAAACAAGAGTAAGTGATTCTTCTGCAACCAGTTCCAATTGTGGTAATTGAATGAAAGTCTCTCCACATGCTCAATTCTGAGCGATATGTGAGTGTGAAATCCGTACTTCACGTAGCTTGTTGGGAACACAAACTTTGTCTTCAGTTGGAATCTCCACTATGTACATATATTTGGGATGATATAAACTCCAACTCGGTTTTTCAGTGTAAACTGTGGGAACTTCAAACCAGCAGAAGGAAACAGACTGAGAAACCAGAGTAAGTGTTTCCCAGCAACCCTTTCCCTTTGTCTTAGATGTAAGAACGTCTCTCCACGTGCTCAGTTGTGAGAAATACGTGTGTGTGAAAGCCGCCGTTGATATAGCTTTTTGGGAAGACATAGTTTCTTTTTAGTTGGAAACTACAGTACATACATATATATCGGGGGGTACTAGCTCCATGTTGGTTTTACAGTGAAAACTGCATGAACTTAAAACCCGCAGTAGGACACAGACTGAATAACTAGAGTAACTGTTACACTTGCCACCCTTTTCCATTGTGCTAGATGAACGAACGTCTCTCTACAACTCAGTTCTGAGAGATAAGTGTTTCTGAAAGCCACACTTCACATAACTTGCAGGGAACACACAGTTACTTTTCAGTTGGAAACTACACTACATACATATATATTGGGGGGGTAGTAACTCCAGCTCCATTTTACATTAAAAACAGCTTGAACTTCAATCTGACACTAGGAAGCAGACTGAGAAACCAGAGTATGTGTTCCTCCTGAAACCCGTTTACATTGTGCTAGATGAATGAACTTCCATCCACATGCTCACTTATGAGATATAAGTGTGTGTGAAAGCCACACTTCATGTAGATTGCTGGGGACACAAGGTTTCTATATATTTCACAACTATGTTACATACATACATATGGGTAAGTACTAGCTTCAGCACAGTTTTAAGTGAAATATGCAGGAACTTCAAACCAGCACTAGGAAACAGACTGAGAAACCAGAGTAGGTGTTTTCCTGCAGCTCATTCCTTTGTGTTAGAAGAACGAATGTCTCTCCACATGCTCAGTTCTGAGAGATAAGTGTGTGTGAAAGCCGCACTTTAACTAGCTTGTTGGGAACACAAAGATTCTTTTCACTTGGGAACTACAGTACATGCACACATACGGGATGTTCCTAGCTCCAGTTCAGTTTTACAGTGAAAAATCCATGAACTTCAAACCAGAACTAGTACACAGCCTGAGATAGCAGAGTAATGTTTCTCCCTCAAACAGTTTCCTTTTTGCTAGATGAATGATTGTCTCTCCACATGCTCAGTTCTGAAAGATAAGTGTGTGTGAATGTCGCCTTTCATCTAGCTTGCTGGGGACACATAGTTTATTTTCAGTTGGAAACAACACTACATAAATATATATGGGGAAGTACAAGCTTCAACTCGGTTTTACAGTGAAAATTTCATGAACTTAAAAGCGGCACAAGGACACAGTCTGAGAAACCAGAGTAAGTGTTTCTCCTACAATCCGTTCCCTTGGTGCTAGATGAACCAACTTTTCTCCACATATTCAGTTCTGAGTGGTAAGTGTGTGTGAAAGCCATACTTCACATTGCTTGATGTGTACAAAAAGATTCTTTTCAGTTGGGAACTGCACTACATACATATATATGGAAAGGTAGTAGCTCCAGCTCCGTTTTACAGTGAAAACTGCATGAACTTCAAAGCAGCACTAGGAAAGAGACAGAGAAACCAGAGTACGCATTTCTAATGCAACCCGTTCACTTTGTGATAGATGAACGAACGTCTCTCCACATGCTCAGTTCTGAGAGATTAGTGTGTGTGAAAGGCACACTTCACTTGGCTTGTTGGGAACACAAAGTTTCTTTTCATTTGGAAACTACACTTCATGCATAAACATGGGGAAGCAGGAGCTTCAGCTTGGTTTTACAGTGAAAATTGCATGAACTTCAAACCAGCAGTAAGACACAGACTGAGAATCTAAGGTAAGTGTTACTCCTGCAAACCGTTTCCATTGTGCTAGATGAACGAATGACTCTCCACATGCTCAGTTCTGAGAGATAAGTGTTTGTGAAAGCCGCACTTCACTTAGCATGCCTGGGAAAAAAAGTTAATATTCAGTTGGAAAATACTTACAGTCATAAATATGGGATGAAGTAGCTCCAGCTCGGATTTACAATAAGAAATTCTTGAACTTCAAAGCAGCACTAAGAAGCAGTCTGAGAATCCAGTGTAATTGTTTCTCCTGAAAACCTTTCCCTTTATTCTAGATGAACGATCGTCTTTCCACATGCTCAGTTCTAAGTGATAAATGTGTGTGAAAGCCACACTTCACCTAGCTTGCTGGGAACACAAAGTTTCTTTTCAGTTGGAAACTACACTTCATACATAAATATGGGGAGGCAGTAGCTCCAGCTCGGTTATACACTGAAAACTACATGAAATTTCAAGCTGCATTAGGAAGCAGACTGAGAAACCAGAGTAAGTGTTTTCCTGCAACCCATTCCATTTGTGCTAGATACTTGAACGCATCTCCAAATGCTCAGTTCAGAGAGATAATTGTGTGTCAAAGCCGAACTTCACCTAGGTTGTTGGGAATACAGAGTATCTTCTCAGTAGGAAACTGCACTACATACATATATATGGGGAGGTAGTAGCTCCAGCTCGGTTTTACAGTGAAAACTGCATGAACTTGAAAGTGGCAAAATAAAACAGACTGAGAAACCAGAGTAAGTGTTTCTCCTGCAAACCATTCCATTTGCGCTAGGTGAACAATCATCTCTCCAGATGCTCAGTTCTGAGAGATAATTGTTTGTGAAAGCCGCCCTTTGCCTATCTTGTTCAGAACACAAAGTTTCTTTTCAATTTGAAACGACACTACGTACATATATATGGGGAGGTAGTATTTCCAGCTCTGTTTTACAGTGAAAATTGCATGAACTTCAAAGCGGCACTAGGAAACAGACTGAGAAACCAGAGAAGGTGTTTTCCTGCAGTTCATTCCTTTGTGTTAGAAGAATGAAAGTCTCTGAACAAGCTCAGTTCTGAGAGATAAGTGTCTGTAAAAGCCATCCTTCACTTGGCTTGTGGGGAACACAAAGTTTCATTTAGTTGGAAACTACACCACATACATATATATGGGGAGGCAGTAGATCCAGCTTGGTTTTACAGTGAAAACTGCATCAACATCTAAGCAGCACGAGGAAAGAGACAGAGAAACCAGAGTAAGTGTCTCCCTGCAAACCTTTCTTTTTGTGCAAGATGAACAAAAGTCTCACCACATGATCCATTTTGAGAGATAAGTGTGTGTTAAAGCCATGCTTCACTTAGCTTGTTGGGAACACAAAGATTCTTTTCAGGTGGCAACAACAATACATGCTTATTTATGTTTTGGTAGTAGCTCAAGCTCGGCTTTACAGTGAAAATTGCATGAAATTCAAAGCAGCACTAGGAAAGATTCTGAGAAGACAGAAAAATTGTTTCTCCTGCAAATTGTTCCCTTTGTGCACAGTGAACAAACGTCTCACCACATGATCCGTTCTGAGAGATAATTGTGTATGAAAGCCGTCCTTCAAATAGCTTGTTGGGAACATAAAATTTCTTTTAAGTTGGAAACTACACAAGATACATATACATGGGGAGGAGGTAACTCCAGCTGATTTTACAGAGAAAACTGCATGAACTTCAAACTGGCACTAAGATACAGGCTGAGAAACAAGAGTAAGTGTTTCTCCTGCAAACCATTCCATTTGTGTTAAATAAACAAATGTCTCTCCACATGCCCAGTTCTCAGAGATAAGTGTGTGTGAAAGCCATCCTTCACTGAACTTGCTTGGAACACAAAATTTCTTTTCAGTTGGAAACTACAGTACATAGATATATATGGGTATGGACTAGATCTAGGTCTGTTTACAGTGAAAATTGCATGAACTTCAAACTGGCACTAGGAAACAGACTGAGAAAATGGAGTAAGTGTTTCTCCTGTAAGATATTCCCGTTGCTCTAGATGAGTGATAGTATCTCCACATGTTCAGATCTGAGATATAAGAATGTGTGAAAGCCATCCTTCACCTAGCTTGCTCGAAACACAGTTTCTTCTCAGTTGGAAAATGCATTACATGCAGATATATAGATAGGTAATAGCTCCAGCTCGAGTCTAAAGTGAAAATGGCATGAAATTCAAACCAGCACTAGGAAAGAGACTGAGAAACCAGAGGAATTGTTTCTCCTGCAACCCGTTTTCTTTGTGCTAGATGAATGAAAATCTACCCACATGGTCTGTTCTGAGAGATAAGTGTGTTTGAAAGCATTCCTTAACCTCGGTTGCTGGGAACACAAAGTTTCTTTTCATTTGGAAACTACAGTACATTCAATCATATGGGGTGCACTAACTCCAGCCCGATTTTAAAGTGAAAAATTCATCAACTTCAAACCGGCACTAGGGAAAAGACTGAGAAACCAGAGAAATTGTTTCTCCTGCAACCTGTTTCCTTTGTGCTAGATGAGTAAACATCTCTGCACATGCTCAGTACTGAGAGAAAAGTGTGTGAAAGCCGTCCTTCACTTGGCTTGGTAGAAACACAAAGTTTTTTTCTGTTGGAACTATCCTGCATGCATATATATGGGGAGGTACTAGATCCAGGTCTGTTTACAGTGAGAATTGCATGAACTTCAAAGGTGGCACTAGAAAGCAGACTGAGAAAACAGAGTAAGTGTTTTTCCTGTAACACATTCCCTTTGCACTATATGAGTAAAAGTCTCTACACATGCTCAGTTATGAGAGTTAAGAATGTGTGAAAGCCACACTTCACCTAGCTTGTTCGAAACACAAAGTTTCTTCTCAGGTGGAATCTATACTACATGCAGATATATGGATAGGTAATAGCTCCAGCTCGGGTTTACATTGAAAATGGCATGAATTTCAAAGAAGCACTAGAAATGAGACTGAGAAACCAGAGTAAGTGTTTCTCCTGCAACCCGTTTCCTCTGTGCTAGATGAATGAAAATCTATCCACATGGTCTGTTCTGAGAGATATGTGTGTTTGAAAGCAGTACTTAACCTTGCTTGCTGGGAACACAAAGTTTTTTTTCAGTTGGAAACTAGAGTACATAAATATATATGGGGATGTACTAGCTCCAGCATGATTCTACAGTGAAAACTGCATGAACTTCAAATCAGCACCGGGAAAAATACTGAGAAAACAGAGTAAGTGTTTTTTCTGCAACCCGTTCCCTTTGTGCTAGATAAATGTGCGTCTCTACACATGCTCAGTCCTGAAGAGATAATTGTGTCTGAAAGCCGTCCTTCACCTAGCTTGTTGGTAACACAAAATTCTTTTCAGTTGGAAACTAGAGAACATATACATATATATGTGGAGGTAGTAGCTCCAGCTCTGTATTACAGTGAAATATGCATGAACTTCAAACCAGCACCAGGAAACAGACACAGGAACCAGAGTAAGGTTTTCTCCTGCAACCCGTTCCCATTGCGCTAGATGAATGAACATCTCTCCACATGATCAGTTCTGAGAGATAAGAGTGTTTGAAAGCATCCCTTAAACTCGGTTGCTGGGAACACAAAGTTTCTATTAATTTGGAAACTACAGTATTTTCAATCATATGGTGTGCACAAGATCCAGCCTGATTTTAAAGTGAAAAATTCATCAACTTCAAACCGGCACTAGGTAAAAGACTGAGAAATCAGAGCAAGTGTTTCTATTGCAACCTGTTCCATTTGTGCTAGATGAACGAATGTCTCTCCACATGCTCAGTTCTCACAAATATGTTTGTGTGAAATCCGTCCTTCACTTAACTTGTTCAGAACACAAAGTTTCTTTTCAGTTGGAATCTACAGTATATACATATATATATGGAAGTACAAGCTCCAGGTCTATGTTACAGTGAAAACTGCATGAATTTCAAGCAGGCACTAAGAAACAGACTGAGAATCCAGAGTAAGTGTTTCTCCTGCAACCAGTTCTTTTGTGCTAGGTGAACGAACATCTCACCACATGATCTCTTATGAGAGATAAGTGTGTGTGAAAGCCGTGCTTCACTTAGCTTGTTGGGAACACAAAGTTTCTTTTCAGGTGGAAACAACAATACATGCAGATATATGTTTTGGTAGTAGTTCAACCTCTGTTTTGCAGTGAAAACAGCATGAAATTCAAACCAGCACTAGGAAATAGTCTGAGAAACCAGAAAAAGTGTTTCTGCTGCAACCTGTTCCTTTTGTGCAAGGTGAACGAACATCTCAAAAACATGATCCATTTTGAGATATAAGTGTGTGTGAAAGCTCTCCTTCAACTAGCTTGTTGGGAACACAAAATTTCTTTTAAGTTGGAAACTACACTACATAAATATACATGGGAAGGGAGAAGCTCAAGCTGATATTACTGAGAAAACTGCATAAACTTCAACCCGACACAAGAAAACAGATTGAGAAACCAGAGTAAGGGTTTCTCCTGCAACCCATTCAATTTGTGCAAGATTGACTAATGTCTCTCCACATGCTCAGTTCTCAGTGATAAGTGTGTGTGAAAGCCAGCCTTCACTTAACTTGTTGGGAACACAAAGTTTCTTTTCAATTGAAATCTACTCTACATACACCTATATGGGGAGGTATTAGCTCCAGCACTATTTTACAGTGAAATCTTCATAAACTTCAAACCATAAATAGGAAACAGACTGAGAAACCAGAGTAAATGTTCCACCTGCAAACCGTTCCCTAAGTACTAGATGAACAAACTTCTTTTCATATGCAAAGTTCTGAGAGATTATTGTGTGTGAAGCCATCTTTAACATGGCTTTTTGCAAACACAAAGTATCTTTTCTTTTGGAAGTTACACTACATAAGTATATAATGGGAGACAGTAGCTCCAGGTCGGTTTTACAGTGAGAACTGCATGAACTTCAAACGAGTACTAGGAAACAGACTTAGAAAGCAGAGTAAGTGTTTATCCTGCAATCCGTTCCCTTTCTGCAAGATGAACAAACGACTCTCCACATGCCCAGTT